AGTCGTATAGTTATCGTTCTTACTTCGTTCGTTCTATATATANAGTATACTATATATATATATATATATATATATATATATATATATATATATATATATTGGAAATCCCCCAATTCCCCTCGATGATGTCACAAAGCCTCCAAGGAACCATTAATATTTTGAAAAGCCATTGTTGACTTCATTAGGAGAGGCCAGTAACCTTGCCAAATCTCTTATGACCATAAGCATATCATGAGTATCAACTCCCTTAGATCTTGTCACTATGATCACCCTGAAATGTTGTCGAATGAACACTTGATCTATTGCAAAGGTATTCACTTTGTATGCCCTAGATTTCTGCATTATAATTATTTTAGTAAACATTATTTGTATATTTGTAAAATATTAAAAACTATACTCCATATATTGCTAAATTGTTGAATTAAACGGCACATTTACAAAAAACTTGCATAGTAAAAAAAAACATTAAGCACTGCATATATTATGAACGCTTCTGAATTCACATAGAAGCTGGTGCATTTTCAACTATTTGTGAAGCTCTACTGGTCTTCATATTTATTCTCCCCTGCAGCTGGGTGGGTGTGTGGGTTGGGGGGGGGGGCCAAGAGGAGTGGGGTTGTGTTGGGCATCTGTGCTAGACTATTTTGTCCTGCATGGGGTTTATATGTCTTCCTGAGAGAGACACTCCCATTTAAGGATGTATGTGTGAAGGGGGGTGCTAGTAAATAAAAATTTGATAGTTCCTGTTGATCACATAGAAGCGGAGATTATTAGAATTTCTTGAAAGATTTGTTCATTTGTCCTGCATGGGGTTTATATGTCTTCCTGAGAGAGACACTCCCATTTGAGGATGTATGTGTGAAGGGCGGTGCTAGTAAATAAAAATTTGATAGTTCCTGTTGATCACATAGAAGCGGAGATTATTAGAATTTCTTGAAAGATTTGTTCATTTATCCTTCCAAAACTGTAAGAAAGAGCCTATGTTTTAGTTTATTAGTATTCCGAGTTATGGCTTGAATTGTGTCAATGCTCTTACAGGTCATCGAATTTGTTAGATTTAGAGAGCGGTTGCAACAATCATATCAGTATTTATCAGCCAAGGTAGAAGATTCCATTCTTCAACTTAAGCAGAAGGCAGATAATATTGAAGACATCAAGGTTGATTCTGTGATTTGTTTAAACCACTAGAATTCCTTTTCTCAGTCATGTGATATACTGACCTATCTTGTGTCTGTTTATTACAGAGCATTCTTCAGAATATGAACTCAGGTGCTCAACTGCTTGATCTGGTGAACGAAAAGTGCAAGAAACCTTTGACGTTCAATGAGGATCTGCAGTCACGTCCATGGTGGTCACCATTTCCAGATGAAAATTACCTTCTAGGTTTGTGGGTCATTGCATGGTCTTTGGCTGTCAACCATTTTTTGGGCCATTACAAATTTACACACAGATTTGGGGGAGTGATTTCATGAAACCATTTCATAGTAATATTGTGAAACCACTTCTTTAAAAACCATGTTAAGGGCATTCATTTGAACTCAAAATTTGGTATGTTCTCTTCCTTCCAACAATCATTCTCAAGAAAACATTGAATTGCAAAAAGTGGATTTTTGTGTGCAATGAGTGTTGGCTGCCTTTTAATAGGATGGTTAGACATAAGCCTTAAGGGGTATACTTTTTACCCTAAATTTTGTAAATGTACTTGTCATCACCATCTAAATAAAGTAAGAAATAATTCTATTGATATCGAGTTCTTATAGACATAAATTTAACTGTCCATTAGACGGACATCTTGCATTCATTGACAGCGGTGATTCATTTGGACTTTTTTAGGGCGCAAACTAACAATTTTTTTTCATGAAATTGATTGTTGCAATTAAGTGTGCGTGCAGAATTCGTTAAACGAATGCCCCTAACATAGTTCTTGAAATAGCGATTTCGTTTTATTACTACGAAATGGATTCATGAAATCACTACATGTGTTTGTGTCTGTGTATTGCATACACTCCCTGAGCTAATTTCTAGTCCATTATCTCATAGGCCAAAAACTCCTAATGACCGTTAATCAATCCTATCTAGGGGAATTTGTTTCACCCTAGATGATGACCCATATTCATCTTTTTTAATCAGTGTTTCTTAAAATGGATCAGTGGGTTGGATCCCCACCCACTGATCCATATTTGGATTGGCTAGATTGGTGATCAGACAAAATCAATAACAAATACAAAAAAGGCAATTTCATCATCATCATCGTCTTAGCCGTATCCCAACTATTTGAGGTCGGCTACCCAAATCTTATTTTGCCATTCTGCTCTATCACAGTCTGACGATAGGTTGCCATATCTCTTCTCAGTACTTTCATCCATATCCTTTTGGCCCACCTCATGCCTTTTTAGAGCCTTCTACTTGAACCAAATTGCTCCTTGTAACTAGTATTGTATTAGGTCTGTGTTGCACATAGCCAACCCCATTTAAGTCTACTTTCCTTCATCTTATTGCCTATTGGAGCCACCCCTAATTTTCCTCTATTTATTCATTTTGAATTCTATCCGTTTTTGTCTTGTCACTCGTATGTCTCAGCATCTTCAACTCAGCTACACTCATCCTATGGATATGTTGCTTCTTGACCACCCAATATTCGGTCTCATAAAGCATGGTTGGTTGTAGAACCATCTTATAAAACTTCTCCTTCAGTTTCATTGATATGCAACGATCAAATAAAACTCTGGATGTACATTCCACTTTGCTCATCCAGCTCTATTCCTATGCACGACATCTTCTTCATTCTCTCTTTTCTCTCGGATTATTGATTTAAGATATCGAAAATAATATCTTTTAGGTATTTATTGGTCAACATTCTTAACTACTCGTTCTACTCCTATTATTACTAAACTTGCATTCAATGTATTATGTCTTAGGCTGGTTAATTTTAAAACCTTTTGATTCTAGTGCATCCCTCCAAAGTTCTTACTTTGCCTTGACGCCGCCTCTAGTCTCACCAATTAAAACTATATCATCCACGAATAACATGCACCACAGTATTTTACCCTGTAGATGCCTATTACATCCTTACATAACCAAAACAAAGTGATATGGGCTCAACGCTGACCCCATAGGCCTACTGTCATTGAAAATTTCTCTCTCCATTAGTTATCCTCACACTAGTTAGCGCGCTTCCTTGTACATATCTCTCACCGCATCAGTATCCTCTAGAGTCTAGAGCTCTTTTTTTTCCAACCTCACCAAATTACCTCTTTAGCATATGCTTGTGCTAACTCAATAAAGATCATGTGGAGGTCTCTACCTTTCTCCTTAAACTTCTCTATTAGTTGCCTAATTAGGGAAATAGCCTCAATTGTTGACCTCCGTGTTATTAAGTCGAACTGATTTTTTGCTACACTCATGTTATATCTTTTGTTGCTCAATCACTCTACCACAGCTTCATAGTGTAGCTCATAAGTTTGATGTCTTGATATTTCATACTATTTTGTATGTATGCTTTGTTCTTTTAAATATGTACGACAATACTTTTTCTCCATTCATATGGCATTTTCTTTGTTGTCAACATCTTGTTGAACAACTTGGTTAGCCAGAATATGCCAACCTCTCCCATGTACTTCCAAACCTCTATCAGGATACATCTGTTCCTATTGCATTTCCTTCTCAAAGCTTCTTTCACTTTAGATATCCTAATCCTAAGAATGTATCAATAACCTCTGACCTCATTTATGTCAAAGGTTTCTCCTAATGTTGTGCTCCCAAAGTGTTCATCATCTAATTTTTTTTGAAAATATTTTGTTGACCTCATCATCTTTCACCAATACCCTCTGATCCTCACCTTTAATGTATTTAATACGATTTAGATCCCAACACTTCCTCTCTCTCATTTTTCTAATTTGAAGACATCTTTTTCACCTTCTCTTGTTCCTTGTTTATTATATAGATCATCATATGCCTTAAGTTTAGCTTTACTTACTATTATCTTAGTGTTTTTCGTAGTATTTTTATATTCCTTAAGTATTGATCATTTCTATTACATTGCCAAACTTTATAATATGATCGTTTTCGCTAATAGTCTTTTGAACCTCATCACTCTACCACCAAGTTTCCTTATCGAATTTTTTTTCCCTCTAGATTCTCCTAAACTTATTTGGAATCAGCCATCTCATTCTAAATAACATTAGCTTCGTGCTAAAAATTCTTTTCCTTCTTTTACCAATTTATTCCTAAATAAGTATATTTTCTCCTTTTTTTATGTCCACCACCTAGTTATTAGACAGTTATTAATTTCATTTCTCTGCCATCTTTTTATGCAGGCATCCTTTACTATGAGCTTATGTTGTGTGGTCAAACTCTCTCTTGGGATAACCTTATGGTCTTTACACGATCGTCGATATGTCTTCTTAACTAGAAAGAAGTCTATTTGGTTTTCATATAATCTACTTTTATAATTTATTAAATATTTATCTCGCATTTTAGAGCAGGTGTGTGCTATTGCTAAGTCATAAGCCACATAAAGATCCAAAATAGAATCACCCATCTCATTTCTTTCTCCAAAACCATATCCTCTCTGTACCCTATCATATCCTCTACTAGCTTTTCCTACATGACCATTTAAGTACCCTCTTAATAAAGTCCTCTCTCCATTTGGTATTCTTTGGACTAGTCCATCCATGTCCTTTTAGAAGTGCCTCTTAATTCTATCCTCTAAACGTACTTGTGGTGCATGAGTACTCATTATCATCATCTGGCATGAATCTTGTTCCTCCATTCTTCTTTATCCGGGCCATACCCTTGGTAAGACCAAAAAGTCACCATATTTTTTCTCACTACTTCTATCTATGTCCGTTTAGGCCTTCCACTTTCCCTTTTAGAACCTTTCACTTGAACCAAATCGTACCTACTAATCGGTGCTGTAGTATCTCTACGCTACATATGGCCAACCCACCTAAATCTACTTTCTCCTCATTTTATCCCCTATTGAAGCAACACTTAAGTTTTCTCGTTTATATTCATTCTGAATTCTATCATATCTTGTCTTGCCACTCATCCATCACCACATCCTTATCTCAGTTACGTTCAATTATGGATATGTTGTTTCTTAATTGCCAAACATTTTGTCCTATAAAGCATGACTGGTCTTACAACTGTCCTATAGAACTTCCCCTTCAGTCTCAATAGTATACGGCATCACATAAAACTTTGGATGCACATTTCCAGTTCATCCACCAAGCTCTAATTCTATGTGCGACATCTTCCTCAATCCCTCCATTCTCTTGGATTATCGACCTTAGATGTCAAAAACAATCTCTTGTAGTTAACCGTTAATCTTAACTACTTCCTTGTTTCTACTCCTATTATTACTAAACTTGCATTTTATATATTCTGTCTTAGTCTGACTAATTTTAAAATTCTTAGATTCTAGAGCATCCCTCCAACGTTCTGACTTTGCGTTGACGCCGGTTTTAGTCTCATTGATCGAACTATTTCATCTACGAACAATGTACACTACGATGCCTCATCTTGTTGGTGGCTGGTTAATTCGTACATAATAAAAAACCAAAGAGATACAGGCTTAGTCGTTGACCCCTGATGTAGTCCCGTTGTTAATAAGAACTCATTTGTCTTTCCGTTAGTTGTCCGCACTGGTAACTCCTTTCCTTTCTAACACCCACCGAATTAAATCTTTAAGTGCCCTATCATATACTTTTTCTAAATCAATAAAGACCATATGGAGGTCTTTTCCCTTTGCCCTAAACATATCAATCAATTGCCTAAGTAGGGAATTGGCTTCGATAGTTGACCGTTTTGGTATAAAACCGCACTGATTTTCTGATACTCTTATTTCACGCCTTAGTCGTTGTTCAAGTACTCTCTCCCACAATTTCATAGTGTGACTAATAAGTTTAATCCCTTGATAGTTTGTACAATTTTGTTTGTCTCCTTTGTTCTTGTAAATAGGTGCCACAATATTTTTTCTCTACTTTGGCGTTTTCTTTGATCTCAACACCTTGTTGAACATTTTGGTAAGCCAACATACTCCAATCTCCCCCATGCACTTTTAACCTCTATCAGGATACCATCTGGTCCTAAAGCCTTTCTCATCTTCATCTTCCTCACCCTAATTATACCATGTGGTGCAAAAGTACTAATTCCATTAATTATCTCCTCCCTTATACAAATTTAATTATTAGGAAGTTATCATCTACTCTCTTGAAACGAACTACTTTATCCTTTAAATCCTTGTTTACTGTTTTGCCCACACTATTTTTATAATTATCCTTTCCTATAAACTAAAGTTGATAGCCACTGATTTCATTAGTGCTTGTCTCCCTTTCCACTTAGTTCCCTGTAGGCGTGCTATGTTAACTCTTTCGTCTCAT